AGTTTCGCTCCCAACTTCTTATCAGTCCTCTTCAACGTCTATAACTCTTCCTATGATACCTCCAACTCATCCCAAGATCAGCAACCATCTGTGAACTCTAACCGGGGCTACATGGTAGATTGTATGAGAAGCCTCCTGGAGATCATATCCGAAAAGGTAAGTTTTTTTTTATTATTCAATAATATTCAATAGATCACTCATTAACCGCGCCTGTCCTTAGGAATTAAACGAAAGTTATCAAAAGATCAAAAACCTACTCGATCAATCCATCAAATCCAAGTCTCCATCAACAGTGACCACCCAAAAGATGCTCGACCTCTTGACCGTCCTCCTGCCGCGTCTAATCACCAGCACGACAAACGAGCAAGGGGAGGAGGGACACGCAAACAAGATGAAGAGACTCAAGGAGATCCAAGGCTTGATCAGCCAGGACCAGTTCATTCTTGCCTCGGACTCGAACCTCCAGAAGAAGTCCTTCAAGCTACTGACCACCTTCCTTGAGCTGGTCTGTCAACGTGGGCTCGTCAAGGAGGCCATCGACGATCTCGATGGGCTGATTGCTAAACTGCTCGCTCTCAATGGAAAGGGTAAGGTTTCTGGCCCGGCTAAAAGGGTGAGTGTTCCATGATCATGTCGAGTATTTGGAGAGAGAGGGAGAGCTGATGTTTTTGGTTTGACAGGACCGAGCCTTACTTGTCTCCAGCCTCGTCTCCGTCATCCCCGTCGACAAACTTCACCATATCCCTCGTCTCTTGACCGAGGTCGTCTTGGGCTGTAAAGAAGCCAACGCCGACGTTCGAGGGTTAAGTTACGAGGTGCTTATCAAGATTGGGAATAAGATGAAGGAGCACGGTGGCAAGGTGGATTGGAAGGCCTTGGTGAACGGTATGGAGGATGATGAAGATCAAGAGCCGATGGATGATGGCGAACAAGGTACATGATTTGATCCAGTTTACTACTTGAAAAGATACTAATTCCCCCCTCCCCCCCTTTATTTGGCTGTCTCCTATAGAGGCAAATATCGAAGAGTACTTCAAGATGATATCGGCCGGTTTGGCGGGCACTTCTCCTCATATGGTCTCCGCCACCATTGCGGCCCTATCTCGAGTGTTATTTGAATTCCATGGTGCGTGATTTGGTTACTGAGCTTTAGCTGCGCAAGAGACTAATGGATGTGAGATCCAGATGAATTGAATCGGACGACGATCGACGAGCTGATTTCGACGATCGAGATTTTCCTGAACTCGCCGAACCGAGAAATTGCGAAGACGGCGATTGGATTCATGAAAGTAGCGGTAGTGAGTCTCGAACGAGAGGTAGTCAGTGAACAGTTGGAAAAGATCGTCCCCGGTCTATTGAAGTGGGCGGCCGAGCACAAGAACTACTTCAAGACGAACATCCAGAACTTGCTCGAACGTCTCCTACGTCTCTTCGGCTTTGACACCCTTGAGAAATTTGTCAGCTCTCGCGACGAGAACGATGGTGGTCGGAAACTGGTCTATAGCTTGGTCAAGAAACAGAAGAAGAAAAAACTCCTTCGTCAGTCTCGTGCTGAGAATCCTGTCGACGAGGATCAGGCTGGTCAGGATGATGACGAGAGTGACCAGGTAAGATAATTTATCTTCTAGCTGTTGTTTGTGGGATGACAAAGAGCTCAGAGAGATTATAACCCTATGGAACTTTCAGGACCGACCAGTACGTCAAGCTCGACTAGGAGACGCCTACGAAGAAGCACTGTACGGTTCTGAGAGCAGCGATGATGAAGGAGAGGATGATGATCAGGGTGCTCATAAAGCTGGTGGGCCTCATAAAGGAGCCAACCAAAAACAGACCAAAAAGAATAGGAAGAACAGAGATGGAACGTCTCTTGACAATCAACTTTTGGAAGACGATGAGGATCAAATCATGGATCTTCTTGATGGAGGTCGGTTGGCTAATCGAGCCTTAGGTCAGTCAATTTGTTTTGTGCTATAAGATAGTTTCTTTTTAAACAAAAACCTCTACTGACATTCGATGGTGTTGGAACTGAAGCTGGCAAGGAAGCTAAGGCGGAGAAAAGGAAGCAAGAGTTGAAGCGGATCGGGGCAGGATACAAGAAGGATTCGGAGACGGGTAAAATGATCATTGATGAAGAGGAGTCGAGTCAAAATAAGTCGACAAAGAACGGCAATGATGAGAGTACGAACGCGTTCCTCGAGGCCGTCCATGGGGCCGACGGATTCAGAAGAGACGCGCGAGGAAATGTCAAGGCTAATAAGAAACGGAAGCTCGATCAGGATGTCGTCGATCGTCTTGAGCAGGACGAGGAGCAGCAACTGGATATCCAGGATGCTGTCCATGGCTTACAGATCACCGATGATCAAAAAACTGGCTCTGCTCATAAAAAGAAAAAGACCAAACAAGTCAAAGAGAAATTAGGATCCGAATTCAAAGCTAAAGTTCGTCCGAAGGCATCATTTTTCTCTCCTTCTTTTGGTTAGATAATTAGTGATACTCATCATCATCATCACCATTTTTTTTTTGCTTCGGTTTATAGAAAGCAGGAGGGGATAAAGTGACAAGAAATAAAGACGGACAAGAAATCTCTCCCTTTGCTTATCTTCCTCTCCAATCTTTAAACTCGAAGAAGAAGAAACTCAAGGTGACCAAGACTTTGAATATCACTGGCAAAGTTAAGGGATCCGCTTCTTGAGAAAGAATTCCTCCCTTATATACAATCAACAAAAAGAAAAAGTGAAAAAGTCAGTTTCTACTTCTACATTTATCTCACCAAATTGAAATCAATTATAAAATAAGCAAAAAACATCTGATTTGATCTTGAAGCTTTCCTTCAGTAGTATACACACTCTTCTCTCTAAGCCCAAGATCTCCTTTCTTTTTTTTTTCTTTGCATGATATCATGACAACACAACCAACCTCCTCTGATGCTATTCTTTCATTCCATTCTTTCCATGAACATACTCATATTCAAGATAAATTATCACTTGATAATCATCCACACATCACCATTCCTTCTTGTTCTTCTTTTTAGGTCTATCAAACTCTTGCACTTGAATCCAATTGTCTCCTTTTTCATTATATTTCAGATATCAACTCTTATCATGCAAAATAAGAGGTCTATCCAGGGAATAATTAGATTACATTAAATCCTATCTTGTGCACATGCTCAGTAAGCTTGACCATACCTGCAAATCTCAATTTATCTTGGATTCATTGTTGGGTATCCTATTGTCTTGGGGATTTTGTCATCATTATTGGGTCAGTTGGTAGTACTACTTCAAGAGGCGTCGTTGGGGCAAACCCCATCAAACACCACTAACCACTGCCAAAATGATTGTATCAGATTGCTACATCTGGCATTACATCAGATAAAAATATCTGATATTACATCAGGAAGAACTGGGATTGTATCTACCAGAATTGATATTATATCTACCTAAAATGATATTGTGTCTATCATGAAAGACATTACATCAGACCAACCTATTCAATGTCAACATAACTGAATTCATATCAGATTTTTCCATCTGATTTCATGCACATGGGCTAAAAATTTGTATCAGATGCAAAAATCTGATGTCAAATCAGTTATGTTGACATTAAATAGGTTGGGCAGCTGCAATATCTGTTATGATAGATATAACATACTTTTAGGTAGATATAATATCACTCCTGATAGATATAATACCAGTTTTGCCTGATGTAAAATCAGATTTTTTCATCTGATGTAATGCCAGATGGGGGAATCTGATATAATCACATTTGCAGTGAACCCGCCACAACTACTTCCTTGGCTGGCATGGTGGCATGGGATTGTTAAAGTAATCCACAGCTAGCTTCAAGCTTAACAAAGCCTCTTGATCAGAGGGTCCCAAAGGGACCCCGTGTCCGAAGGACACTCTCCGAGGGAGAGGCTTACATGATAAATTGACCTTGTGGCTTGAGGTCATAAGGTTTAAGGCTGAAATTTCACACTTTTGAGCTTCAAATTGATTTTCCTCCAAAACCTCAATTCCTTTTAAGGAAATGAGGTTACTGGAGGTGAGCCTTGCATCTTGGCTTTTGTTTAAAAAAAATACTTTTAGCTACAAAAATGAGCATCCTACCTCTGTTTGAAGGAAGACATGCTTTGGGAGTTAAATCTTGGCAAATAGTAATAGATTTTGTTTTTTTTCCCTCTCTTTCAGATAGTCGGATTGTGCTCGCATGACCGGATTGGAATTTATAAAACTTTTTATGGCGTAGTTGACAGGTTCTTTGACAGCATGAATGCGAGTGAGAGTGAGACTCCGAGGCTCAATCACATGGCTGTCATGAGGGCGTGAGACCGGACATTGGTGTGGAAATATCCGGTCATGGTCAAATCAGATTTTGTATTTTTCATTTTTGATTGAGCATAATATCTTTGGCTTGAGGAGGAGTGGTAGGAAAGTAAAGACATGGAAAAAATGAGAAAAATCATGCGAGTCTATGTCCTGTGTGGCTTCCCTAACAACACTAGTGATCTTGTGGGGGAAATGGGGTGTTTTGTGATTTATCCGGCCATTTGGCTGGATGCCCTCAGCCCAGATGTGTGAAATTATGTGCAAGTCCCTCCCTGAGAGCATCCGCATTGGTGGGCAGGATTAGCTGCCTAATCTAATCCTCCAGGTTGGATTAAGTTAGCTCCAGGGTTACTTTTGGAGCTAGTGGGGGTTAAATTTATACCCCACTAATCCTGGGATTAAAGAGGTCTCTAATCCTCACTAATCTGCTCAACCGATGCGGATGCTCTGACAGGAGGGGGCCCTTTGGGCCCAGGGAGGGACTTGTGTTAAGGTCGGCTAGCCTGTCTGCCTGATAACCAGCACAACAGAAGCTGGTGACATGATGATGAAAGAACAGTAGCATGAAATTGCTAGCATGTCTCCATGAGAACTTGGTGTGTGCAACAAGCCAGGTGACAGATTGGTGAACAGTTCAGGATCCATATCAGGCTGTCAATGGGCTACCCATGCCCCGACGGGTCTCGGGGCGGGTTGGACAGGAAAGGGTGGAAAAATACTCAAGTGTGACCCGGCCCGCGGAGACCCACCAAATTCATGGGCCGGCTTTCCTGAATGTGGGCCGGCCCACCAGCTCATGAAAAGCCCGATTAATTCTGAATATCATCAGAATTATCCTAATAATATGTACTCACAGTACATATTATTAGGTGTGAGGGCCCAGAATCCCATAACCATGGTCAGTACCTGGATATACACTGTTTGCTGCATATCTCATTGACATTGTCATGCCCCTAGATTCAAAGTTTCAAAAAAGCAGACCAAGGGCAAGGAAAGCCCCATGCCCAAATCAAATGAGGATATCACAGTCATATCTGACTCCGCTCCGCAAACCCCAACCCCATCGACGGCAAATCCTCCACAACCTAGTGCCCCAGAGGACTCATCCAGCACTCCAACAGAAAAAATGAGATACTCAGGCAAAAAAAAAACACTTTTTGATGGGCAGACCCAAGACCTGCCCCGAGCCCACCCCGAGCCCGACTGTCTAAACTCTGGGGCAGGTTTGGGCATACTTTTTTGGAATTGTGGCCCGACCCGCCCCGCCCCACGTTCCAAGGTGGGGCGGGTTTGGGCTAGAGATGGTCGCAGATATCCGTTATCCACTGGCGGATACCCGCCAGCGGGTGCGGATTTGGGTGCGGATGCCCCCTTCCCCCTGGAATCCTGGCGGATATCCGGGTATCCCAAGGGATATCCGCCCATACAGGA